TTCGTGAGAGGCCTCTGTGACCAGCCCAGGCGGCCGACCCGAGCCGAGCATGTACAGGAGGTGCTCAAGGCAAAGCGGGCGCGCCACGCGGAGTCTGGCAACGCCGCAACAGACCCCAACGCCCCGTTCCAACAGCCCGACGACGGCCACCCGGGGGACCTGCCTGAGGAGCTCGAGGCCGGCGGAGGCAGGCCCGAGTTCTCGAACGGCGCCCTTCCGAACCTCGCCTGGTGGGACTCCGTTTCCTACGACAGCCTCGCCCACGACGTGCCGACTGTGCTCCAGGTCCCCGGCGAGGTCAGCCAGGCGTTAGGCCTCCTCCGGGGCCGGGTCGCGACTGCTCTCGTCAATGCTATCGACGTAGGCGACTCGGTCACCCAACAAAGGGCCGAGAAACTTTTCACCTTCTTCGATCGGCTGCTCCTCGTCCGCTCGCAACAGACACGCGGAGGGCGCAAGGTCAAGGGCCGAGGCCTCAGTGTGGCCATCACAAGCCGTCTACGACTCGCGGCCGCCGAGGACTGGGGGGCCCTATGGCGAGCCGCCATGACCGCGGGTGCTCGCCAACCGCGGCGCGGGGGGCGACGCCGCACCCCAGAAGAGGACGCCAAGTAGGTGGAGTCTCTGCTGACGGAGGGCCTGGTCAGCAAAGCAATGCTGCGAGCGACGCGGACGGTGGCAATCGCGAGCGGCCCTGGGGTCCCAGAAGCCCTCCAAGACTTGTTTCCTCCTGGTGAGCCGGGCACGCACCCCGGGCCGGTGCCGGCCGCCCCGGACGGGGAAACCAAGGCGGCACTGGTCGAAGCGGTGAAGCGACACATTCACCGGAGCCCCAAACGATCTGGGCCCGGGCCGAACGGGAGTCTTTTCGAGCACTGGCGCACGGTCCCCAGCGATTCTGAAGATACTCCTGCTGTGGCCCAAGTGGTTGTCTTGTTCCTCTACGGCGCGCTGTCGCCCCAGGCCATGGAGGCCAACCTGGGAGCCCGACTGGTGGCGCTGCGCAAGCCTTCTGGGGGTCTGCGGCCCATCGCTTGCGGCGGGGTCATCCGTCGGCTGGCGGGCAAGGCTGCCTGCGAGGTGTTCAAGGACGAGATCCGGAATGCGTGCGGTGCTCACCAATACGCCGTCGGCAGGCGGGCGGGCTGCAAACTGGTCCACAAGACCATAGCTGCGCTCATCGAAGCCAGCCCGACCAGTGTCGTGCTTGGTTTCGATGCCAGCAACGCCTTCAACTCGATGCCGCGAAGACGGGTCATGGACGGGGTTGCTGCCAGAGCGCCTGAGCTGTACCACACACTGCGCAGGCGTGGCTCGGAACGACTGCTACCACACACTTGCTCTGGAACGACGCTGACACAGCCCTCCCTATACGAGCCACGCGCGGGGTGGACCAGGGATGCCCTCTGTCACCGGGGCTATTCGCTATTGCCCTGGCGGACGCACTTGGCGATACCGCGGTAACGCTCCAGCGGCTGTCCTCCGAGTGCCGCGTTCTCTCCTACCTTGACGACACCATGGTGTTTGGGCCGCCAGAACACGCAGACGCCGCCATCCAGATAGTCCTCGCGGCGCTCACGAACGCCGGGCTCCAGGTGAATCAGAGCAAGACCAAAGCCTGGACGAAGGACCCGGCGCAAGCCTTGCCCCCGACGGCGCAGCAGGCCCGGGTCGACACCCTCACGTGTCTGGGGAATGTGGCGACATGGCTGGATCAAGAAGACGAGAGGGTCCGGGTTCACCCTGGCGCCGACGGAGCGGCCGCCGTGGCCAGGGCCACCGCTTTCCGTGCCCGCCTGCAAGAGCTTCGGGGTGCCCGACTTTCCGCAGAGGGAGCTTGGGTCCTCCTCCGCACATTCGCCCAGGGCGCAGTGACTCACCACCTTCGCGCCGCGTGCAACTACAACTTAGCGTGGACTGACACTTTCGATGGCGCTGTGTTCGGATGCCTCGAAGACCTCCTGCAGGCCCCTCTGGACGACACGCAAAGACTGCAGGCCACCCTGCGGCTGGTCGACGGGTGGTGTGCCCTCCATTCAGCCAAGGAAACAGCGCCGGCCGCGTACGCTGCAAGCTGGGCGCTCGTCATGCAGGACGTGGCCCGCGGCGCTGGGTTCGCTACTTGGGAGGACTTTCGGGCCCGCTGCCCCTTGACGTTCCAATCGTTGCGGGAGGCGGAGGCGGCGCTGCGAACGCAGGGAGCTATGGGGGACGACCCGTTCGAGTGGCTGGACACTTTCCAGGCACCGCAACTGAAGCTGCAGGGGCAGTGGGGCAAAGCGAGGTCCTCGGCTGGGAGGGAACGCTTGCTGGGAACGCTGGGAGAGGACGACCGACTCTAATTCCGCGGAGCAGGAGGACCAGGCGCCGGGGGATTCCTGCTCCCCCGTGAGAAGGGTGACCAGTCCATGCCAGATAGGCATTTCCTTGCGGCGCACAAGAAGCGCTTGCGGGTGCCGGTGTGCCCGCCTGGTGCTCGCTGCCAGCACAAGTACGCCGACACAGGACTGCCGTGCAACGAGCCCTTGGACGCGCGCGGGTGGCACGCCTGCAGCTGCCCTGTGGGGGGGTCCCGCGCAGGCCGCCACGACAGCATGAGGGACTGGCACGCCCCCACGCACACACGCCTCACGGGCTACTACGTGGTCAAGGAGCAATGGGTCCCTGGCTGGGACCGGATGGACCCGCATACGGGCGTCGTGGAGGAGGCGAAGTTGGACGTTTGTGCACGAGACCCCAGCACAGGCCAGCCTTTGTATGTTGATTGGAGCGTTACCTGCGAATACAGCACCTACGGCCCTCGCAGGCGCGCTCGATCCAACAGAGACGGGGTCGCGGCGGCGCAGACGGTCCACGAGAAGCGCGAGCGCTACCCTCCGCAGCACGGGAACTTGGCGCCCTTAGTGATCGAGTCGGGCGGCCGCCGATCGACACGGCCGTCGAGTTCATCCGGTCGTGCGGCCACGGGCTCGACGACGCTGACCGGGCCGTGGTCCTCGGAACGCTGTGGAGGCAAATCAGCAGACGCCTGCAGACCGGCAACGCCGAGATGCTGCTGAGTGCACTCGGACGCTAGGCCGGCAGCTACCTGGGCACCAAGCCTGCTGCCCACGGTGCTGTTCGGACAGGCGCCTGGACAAGGACCACCGCTACCGCGGCCAACACAAGCGGCCGCACCCACCACTGCGGCGGCCTTGGCAACGCCAGCCGCCACCAACGGCCGTAGCCACCACCGCTGCTCTTGCGGCCATCGCCACGACCAAAGTGGCCGCCCCCAGCACGGCGAACAAACAACGCAGCCACCGCAGCCCGGACGCCTCCAGCACTACTACCACCAGCCCGGCTATCGCCAGGGCTGCCACGATACGACCACCCAGCCCGACCCCCACGCCCATCCCCGCCCCCCGTCCCCCGTCCCCCTCCCCCCCCGCCCTTCCCCTTCCTCCTCCTCCTCCTCCTCCTCCTCCTCCTCCTCCTCCTCCTCCTCCTCCTCCCCTAGTGTCGTGTCGGCTTTGTAGTCCCCGCCCTAGGTGTAATTCATGCTGGTCAATTCAAGGCCCCCCACTGTGTCCCCACGGGTCCCCTTGGCGAAGGGGGAAGGGGGCAAACTCTGGCGCCCGTGGGTCTGTCCGCCGGGAGGGAGGGAAAGAGGGGCCGAGGAGGGAGGGGAAGAGGAGGGAGGGGGGGGGAGGAGGGGACGGGGGGGGAGGGAGGAGGGGAAGAGGAGGGAGGGGGGAGGGGAGGGGGGCCGAGGAGGGGAGTGGGGCCGAGGAGGGAGGGGAAGAGGAGGGAGGGAAGGGAGGGGAATGGGACGCCAGGTGCGTTCGCGCCATGCCGGACGTCCTGATCCTCGCGCTCACCCCTTCCAGTGGCGCTGGCTTGCCTGTGTCCGCCGACGAGTGGCATGAAGGCCATGGAGCATCCACTAGGGCCCATCGTGAGAGGCGCAGGCAGAAAAAGAGGGGGCCGAGTACATTGGAGAAGTAGCTAGTGGCGGACGAGCAAGAAGATGAGCAGGAGGACCCGGATGAGGCTGAAGAAGGAGGGCGGCGAGGAAAACAGCCGCAGCAAAAGGGGAGGAGGTGGGGGCAGGGGGCAAGAGGGGGGCTCGAGGTTCGAAGACAGAAGGCCGCGACTCGACGATGCCGTTCCCGCCTCTCTGCGCACCCGACGAGATGCGAGGGGAAGGCGGATCGCGTGCGCGCGGGCCCGCGCTGTCGCACTCCTGACCCTCCTGGCCCTAAGGCCCTTCCTACTGCGCCAGATCCGTGCTCTCTACACCGACCGAGGCGTCGGGCAGGCCCCTGCCCTTGATGCCCGAACGGCGGCTGCAGTGCTTGACGCATCGTTTGCTGTGCAGTCGGATGCCCGTGGCCAGCCCCTGGAGCTCAAATTGGAAGGAGGTAGCTACTTTTCGCTCACCCGGGAGCGGCGCGAGAAGAGGTATCCTGTTCTCGTGCCCGAGGGGGGAGGGCTTCTGGGGAAGGGGGGGAGGGAAGACAAGAGACGAGGCGGGGCAGGTGAGGCGGGAGCGGCGGGAGATTCGATGATTTGATTCGAACTGTTGGGGTCGCTTCAGGCGACAAGGACGCTCGGAAGTCCATCCAGGATGGAAAGCAAGCAAGGAAGTACTTACTACTTACTGACTTACTGGTGAATGGGGAGGGATTGCTCTCTGCTGTAGCCGGCAGGAGAAGGGGAAGGGACGGCGACGACCAGGAGGAGGAGGAGGAGGAGGAGGAGGAGGAGGAGGAGGAGAATGCGCATGTGCGCCAGCGGTTGGCGGCGAAACATCTGAACCCCTGCGCCCCCCCCTTGGCCGCAAGGAGCGGATCAAGACGTCGGCGACGACGACACTGACACCCGCCGATGCGACTTGGGTTCGTCCGCGGCCTCAGGGAAGCCCCGAAGGCGGGAGAGTAGCTTCTCGTCCCGGATCCGTCCGAACAGAGCATCTCATCGGACATCTGGGGACAGCACGGAGGGGTGGGGAGGGGGGCCTCCGCCTGCTTCTCCTCGTGGGCCGCCGCCAGGCACGAGCGCTCCGCGCACGCCTCGAGGGCCACGGCCTCCTCTTCCAAACGGCGCGCGTGGAGCGACAGCGCCTGCCCCGAGGAGCATGTGGGGGGAGAGCGGCCACAGAGGGGGTATGCGAGGCTCCAGAAACGCAGACCCCCCCAGAAAAGGACCTCTCTTCGGGGGCCACTTTCACTTCCGCCGGCCTTCCGTCGCCTTCCGCCGGAGGATCCGCCCTCGTGGTGTTCTGTTGCTCCCGCCGGCTTCCGCCGACCTTCTGCCGCCTTCCGCCAGGGAAGAGATGGGAGGAGAAGAAAGACATTTCGCACCTTTCCGTAGATGGGACCCGCGCCCCGATCAGCGTCAAATCCGTGTCGAATCGGTGGCGGACTCGTCGAATCCACGTCAAATCCATGCCGAATCCGCATCGAACTACGCCAAATCCGCTTCGCATCCGCATCGAGCCCGCGTCGGGAACAAGAGAATACACCAATTTGGAGGACAGACGCGGCGCACCGCTGCGCAGGAGGCTGGGCTCCAGGGTCTTCCCGCATGGGGGCACGCAACACAGGGATCTCCCACCAGGGGTGCCCCCCCCCCCCGTGGGAAATGCCCGCAGTCGTCAGACTACCATGCATGCCAATACTGATCTTTAAGTGGGCGTCGCCTTGTGATGTACAGAAAGGCTCAACAGTGAAAGAACTGTCAAAGCTGGTAGTCGCATGAAACCACGAGTAGAACGCAAAACGATGACCAGGCAGACGAGGACGAAGGACTATAGACGAATATGCAACTTCGACGTATTGGGCTACCCTGAGCCTAGTCGTGTCCAGGTGAACGGAAAAGGGAACGAACGGCCCAGAAAGAACCGAAGGACGGAAGGGGCAGGGCGGCACACTGCGAGGACTGACTCCACGTGGGTGCGATTACGGGATGCAATGGGAATCGAGGGTGACGAACATGAACGATCCCTATATGGCAAAGTGGCACATGTTTGCAATGACCAGAGACATCCGGGACAGCCGCGAAAGGCGTTGCCTGCGTGCGTAGCTCGGGAAGGGACAAGAAATTCAAGACCACGCAACCGTTGAAAGGCCGTCGGCGTGTTACTCCGATATTTCCTTCGACTGCAAGGTCCGTGCTCAGCAGTAACACGCTGACGAGTTCCCCCTGGCGGCCTGTCATTGATACTGCTGCTGTTGCTCCCCCAATAGCCCTGTTCATAAAAAGCTGCTCGTATAGACGCGGAGGCGGAAGCGGCGGGGCTGGACGCTGAAGAGGCGGCTGCGGGTGCTTCCGCACACGCCGCCGAGGCCGGCGCCGGTGCCCTGGAGGAAGCGTGTGGGCCCGACGCTGGGAGGAGACGGCCAGGTCGGTGGAGGAGGAGGGGGAGGAGGAGGAGGGGGAGGAGGGGGAGGAGGGGGAGGAGGGGGAGGAGGAGGAGGAGGAGGAGGAGGAGGAAGAGGAGGAGGAGGAGGAGGAGGAGGAGGAGGAGCAAGAGGAGATCGGGTATCCTCAGGAGGAGGAGGAGGAGGAGGAGGAGGAGGAGGAGCAAGAGGAGATTGGGTATCATCAGGAGGAGAAGGGGGAGGAAGACGGGCCGCCCGAACCGCAAGGGGACGCCGAGGCCGGCCTGCGGCGTCGCAGGTGCTGTTCGGGAGTGCCTCGATCGACTGGATCCTGCCCAGGGCCAGGCTGAGCCGGGGCCAAAACGCTCCCTCCCTTGCGGGCCCTCGGTGAGCCAAGCCCGACAGCTTACGGTGCGCGCGCAGGAGGGCACAGAGGCACTGCCCCGGCGCGGGCGCAAGAAGCCGTCGCGGGGCGGGAAAACGCCGCCCCTGGACCCTTGCCCTCGTCGCCAGTGGGCGGGCGCGAGAGGGGAGGGCCTTCCCAGGTGGCGAGGGGCCTCTCAGAAGGCAAGGACCCTCTCCTCGGAAGGGCCTGAATCGGGGGCTGCCAAAAAGGTACCCCTGGCCCGAGGTGCCCCCGAGCTTTTCGCTCCCTTTGGGAGCCCCTGGGGCCCTCGCGGCCTCGTGATGCGGTGCTCTGGGGGCGTCCTCGGCAAGCCTGGGGGCATCTTGGGCCAGGGGCACTTCTAGCAACACCCGACTGGAAGGCACCCGAGGAGACCTCCTGGATGACCGGGAGAGCTTCTCGAGAAGCCCCCCGCCCCCACCCCCGGGGCCCTCCAAGCAGGCCCCCGCCCCCTGTCGAGGATCCTCGATTCTCGACCCTCTTCAGTCGTCGTGCTACACAAAACAAAATAAGGAACCAACGGTTTTTCTTGCCACGGCAAGCCTCGGCCACGAATAGGTTCCCCGACCTAGATCTAAGGAACGGCCCGAAAACCAGATCCCCTCCCGAGCCTAAAGTGGTCCTCATTTCAACGTCTTGGCTGCAACCTCGATCCCAGAACCGTCACCCGCGATGCGAGGCAGGGATCTATCCGTGTACACGGCCTGGGAACCGACGTCCTGGGGACCCAGCGGGCGGTGGATGTGGATATACGTGGGCCCCTGGGGGCCAAACTATGTCCGTCTATCCGCCGCCCCTGGAGGCCCAATGGCCATGCATAGGTCCCTGCCTCGAACGCGATCATCAAACATAGGGAAATCAAACAGTACCGACACCGCTAATCCCCTGACCTCTCCCGGGGTCCGTCCTGACCAGGCTTTCGAAGCGAATCAAGCGGTGGCGACGAGCGCCTCCCAGGAGGCCCCACAACAGGGAAAACGGGCCAAGGGTAGCTGTATAGGTACCTGTCTTTTCCTCCTCCGAGAAAGCCCCCCGAAGAGCGGGCCGATCGCCTCGGCCCGCAGCTCCCCCAGCGTGGCCCGCTCGCGCGCCTGCGCCTCCGCGGCGGCGCGCTCCGCGGCCTTGCGCTCGTCGACGGCCTCGGCGGACGCCCGGTTGTCACTCGTCGCCAAGAGGGAGGTCGTCGTCGTCGTCGTGGGGGGAGCAGCCAGCCTCGAGCTGATCCCTATCCCTAAGATCGGCAAGCCAAAGGCGAGGACATTCTTAGGGATGCACCCTCAGGAACTGAAAGGGATCCTCCAGATCGGCACCGAGGTAAGGTGATGCCACACATGGGGACAGGGATATGTTCAAGGCCGGTAAGGGAGATTGGAGAGCGTTTCAGCAACTTTCGCAATAGCAACGATTGCCGGTCCCAACCGCCCCTTTTCCCTCCAGGTAACGCCTCGATTTGTGCTGACGTCCGAGGTGTCTTTGATTATTCCTCGACGTTCCTCGACGGCGCTGACGCGAAACGTGACGTTACTGCCCCCCCCTCCCCGCCCTCTCCGGCCCTCCCCCCCCGGTAACGCTCGTCATCGCCCGGGAAGTATGACAATAATGCAAACAGCTGCTGAAGCTTTGGAATTCTTGGGCGGCGGGCCCGGTTGGAAAGGCAGGTGGGGCGGGTCAGCTCGAGCAGCTCAGAAGGCCTACAGCACTCAGGGAGCCCGCACGTGGCCTTTCGCAAGGCCTGGGGGCCTCACAGGAAGCCCCGCCGCCTTCTGACGAGGCCTGCCCCCGCGCACTTCCCCCCTCGGCGCGCCGACGATCCGTGGACCTCTGCCAGGACAGGTCGTGCTGGCACAGCAGTGCGCGAAACCAGACGACCGCCGAGACGACCCCAGAGCTTAGCGCTAATGGCGCTGATGTCGTTCAGACGCCGCCATCCCACCCAACCCCCAAGGGCAGTCGCCACTGGGGGGGGGATCAGAACAAAGTAGGGGTGCTGGAAAGGGGAAGAAGCGAACCGACAGAGCCCCCCAGGGGCGGGGTATCTATGTCCCCCTGTGCCCTCATGGGGGGAGAAGGAGGGAGGAACGGAGATACGGCGACGACGGAGGACACACGAGACGACCTCCTCTTCCTCCTCCTTCCCCTCCCCCTCAGGGAGAGGGACAGGGGCAGAGGGAGCACACGAGATGCGGAGGGGAAGGAGGAGCACGCGACACCCCCATAGGTTCTTCGAGCAGCGCGTTCCTACTCGAGAGCAGATGACCTTGGGATCGAGATTTGTTCACCCTGAGGCACAGGCGGAGACCACTGCCGGTCGACGGCATCGGCAACGTCGAGGACGCCCACGGGCGCCCATGACGCTTAACGCAGCGCGGCGTACCACACACTACACTGAGCTAGCTCCGAGTAGTGTGCCTACCTGTTAAAATCATTGGGGAAAAAATGATGGTGCGCCTATGTATCCCGACACGGGTCGCGATTCAGGCATGCGTCATTTTCCTGGCAGCAAGCGGCCGACGACAGAGAGCACACTCCATCACACTCCGTTTTGCCGCTGCTCTGTGTGACTTTGGCTCACAAAACTTGGACCGCATGAGGCGCGCTGCCACATCCGGTTTCGTTCCCCAGTGGGATGACACCCTTTGTCCTGCCAGCTGATTCGCGCGTGGAAAGCTCAGTTCTGCTCGCGAACAATTGTTGAAGGGGGAGAGGAATGACGAGGAGGAGGAGGAGGAAGAGGAGGAATGACGAGGAGGGGGAGGAGGAGGAGGAGGAGGAGGAGGAGGAGGAGGAGGAGGAGGAGGTCGACATCATCGGCGGCCGTCGGGGGTCCTCGTGGTAGTCGCCGTCGCCTGAAGGCGGGGAGTTGGTTGACTTCGCCGTAGGCGTGGCCCTCGTACTCGTCGGAGGTTTCCTGTGGGTTGCTTGCCTTGAGTATCGGCTGCTCTCTTTGGCTTCTGCTGGCGTTCGCGTGATTCCATCGCTTCTCGAATGACTTGGAGTGTCTGGCGTCTCTGGGCAATTCTTGTGGTGTATGGAGGCTTCTGGGGGTTCCCGAGGGGGGTGCCTGTTTCATCGGGTCATCGTTGATTTGCTTTGGCAGGGATTTCATCGGGCCATTGTTGACTTGCTCTCGTATCGATGGGGATGGTACCGACTTGATCGGGTCATTGCTGACTCGCCCTCGCACCGAAGCCATGTTGCTGCAGGCGCCTGGCAGCGGATCACAGAGGACACTCGGGCTCGACAACGGCCCCCTGGTCACTGGTCTTCTCTCGGCCCTGACCAATCAGAGCCCGATGCACTCGCCTGCCAACTCATTCTCTTTAGCCCGAACTGTGCGTGTCGGGCGGCGGAGGATGCGCTGGGATCGTGGTCGGGAACGGTGCTCAAACGGACCTGCCAGCTTCGCATGGCAACGGACCAGGTGACGCGCGACGCTCTGCGATGACCCAGCCAGCATCTCGTGCCCACCTGGCACGTGGGTGAGCTACCAACAGGATATGGTGGACCACACCGACAGCACAAACTTAGGAGGGCCAATACAGAGGAACACAGGAAGATTCCCACAAGCAACCCAACCCTGAGACCCCAGGACGTCCATTGCGTTTTATGAGGGACCCTGGAGGCAAGCAGGGTGTTCCCTGGCATGGGCATCCACTGTACATCTGCTCGCCTGGGTTGTTCGCCTGTCCGTCTGGGTCGGCACACAAGGCTTGCACGCCAATGCCTTCAAGCAGAACTCGCTAGGAGTGCATCGGAAGGCAGTTCTATCTGTGGTAATGGCGCATGCGGGGCTCACGGTCGCATCGGACCCGAAGTCGACGCTGGAGATTGATTCGCAGTTCAGTGCGCGGGAGAGCGGGGAGATCACGCTGGAGACCAAGCCAATGCTGCGGCACAAGGGAGGTCAGCAGCCTCTGGTCGAGCCCGCCTTCCTGCTCGGGACCAGCGGCAATCGTGGGCAATGCCGAGGCCAGCGGAGCTACGGTTGGCGGGGCGACTGGTACCAATGACGGGGCGGTCCTAGAGGGCGAGCAGCCATGTCGGCAGCACGGCAATGGGCCACTCCCCACCCAAGAACCTGCAAGAGGTGACGTACATTATCTCGCGAGGTTGGTACCTGATATATCGAGCAAGACTAGACGTAGATGACGTGGCTGCAGTGATCGGCTCGTGCCACTGAGATTGAGACTCGGGCGACTCTGTTTGAATACAGAGAAGATCTCCTGGCGAGCTCCTACCTGAAGCTGGGATCGTCGCGTTTTGGCGGCTTCGGTCGTCACTGGCGCGAGCGTCACTGGCGCGCTTGTCGGCTCAGTATCGCTTCAGATGTGTGTGTGTGTGTGTATTTTTTTGGGGGGGGCAGAACGCTACTCGAGTAAGGCTGCCTGAGTCTAACAAGGGACGAGCCCTCAGCGACCCCAGCTAGGCGTATTGCCAGAGACATGCATGTGCTATGTCAAGCAGCGACGTGCAATGCAGTAGAGTGCTACGCAAGCAAGCTGACAATACGGCATGGCAGTGCAAGGCTTTGTACAGCAACGACGCATCGCAAGACGTAGCATGCCATCCCGATCGTGGCATCGCACAAACCCGGGGCACTGCACAGCATAGCATGCCGCAGCATGGCCCGGTGTAGCTTAGCATGGCGCAGCGTGGCATGGCCTTTCTCGTCGGGGCGCTGCGCCTCGTTCCCCTCCTCCTCCTCCTCCTGCTCCTCCTCCTCCTCCTGCTCCTCCTCCTACTGCTCCTCCTCCTCCTCTCCTCCTCCTCCTCCTCCTCCTCGTCTTGATTATCAGGTTCCTCCTCCTCCTCCTCCTCCTCCTCCTCCACTGTCTCCCCCTCCTCCCCCTCGTCATTTCCCCTTCTATTGCTCCTCTCCCTCTTCCTCTTACATATTCTTCCCCCCTCCTTCGCCTCCACCATGTCCATCCTTGAACAAATATCGGGTGCGTCTTGGGAATTGGTCGGGCCGTCTTGAGGGAGAAGACTCCCGGGATTCGTTGGATTTCCCCGTCTTGGGAGCCTTGGCTTGGGACTCCAGCGCAACCTTTGAATATTCTTGGGTCGTCGAGGAGCTCTGTTTCGGTTGCCGTGCAGGCTTTCAGCACCCCAAGAATGTGGGGGCGTGAACTTGGTTTCAAACCACAGGGAAGATGCATAATGTGGGCTCGTGGCGAGACTCTTGGACTGCTGTCGGGCCGTCTTCGGGGGCCACTTGAATGCCTCTTACGTGGCGCATGGGGGTCGTCGGGGCCGTCCTGAGGGGTACACCTCCCAGACATGCTGAAATTCAGACATCTGTTGAAACCGTCAGGGGGAGGAAGAGTGAGGAAGAGTGAGAGGGGGAGGAAAGGACGGAGGTGAAATTATGCGGTCGATGTCTCGGTCGCAAATTTGGGGCCCATCGGGGCCTCCTCGTGGCCTCTTCGGGGCCTCCTTGGGGAATTGTGGGGGCATCGTGGGGCCGAGTCGGACCGTCTTAAGGTCATTTTCGAGAGAGAGGAGGAGGAGGAGGAGGAGGAGGAGGAGGAGGAGGAGGAGGAGGAGGAGGAGGATGAGGAGGAGGAGGAGGAGGAGATGCCCAGCTGTGCCCTTCTCCCCCTCCCCTCTCCTCGACGCCAGCAAGACGCAGTACCAAATCGGCCAGGCTAACAGGAAGAGGGGATGGAGGCATCCCCCCCGCTCGCTGCCTCCCGCACCTCTGCCTTGAGAACCTCCATGGGCATGAGCGGCGTCCCGTCGTCTTCCTCGATGCAGTGCCAGCTACGCCCAGCGTCCTCGGGGTCCTCCTCCTCCTCCTCCTGCTCCTCCTCCTCCTCCTCCTCCTCCTCCTCCTTGCCTTCCTCTTCCAGCTCCACCTTCCTCCTCATTCATCCTCCTCCACCATCCCTCCTTCCAACATCTACTCTTCCGCGTCCTTCTCCATCATCCCTCCCTCCTCCTCCTCCTCCTCCTCCTCCTCCTCCTCCTCCTCCTTATCTTCCTCTTCGTCTTTCCTCCTCCCTCCTTTTAACTGATAATCCTGCGTCTCCCTTCCTCCGTGCCTCGTGCCTTCCTCATCCTCATCCTCCTCCCCCGGGTTCTTACCGTTCTCCCTCCTCCCTCCTCCTGTTTCCTCTCCCCCTTGTCATTCTTCCTCTTCTCCTCCCTGATCCTCGTCGCCCTCCTCTCGACGAACACTCCGGGTCCCAAACTCCGAACATGGACGTGGAAAGGAGGGACGAAGGCGCGCTGCAACACAACTCCTCTGCTCATCTCTCGCGGTGTCTAAATCGTGCTGAGTGAATTTTCGTTGGGCCCTTCGGCGAAAAAACGATCAACAAAACCACGGCCACATTTTCTGAATTCGAATGCCGCGGCGTGAACCGGGGTGATCCGCATGGGAGGTCGCACGGGGCTGGCCAGCCTCCAGCCGAAAGCACCGTCCATAAAAGTGATCACGGGCTGCAAGCCGTGGCAACTTTTGAGCACGCGCAAGCGCGATTCGGACCGAATGTCCAAGATGAGCGTTTGTGCAATTATGAACAAAAAACAGCACCATCATCATCACAACCATCGTAATCACCCACGCTGTGGTCATCATCATAACTATCGTCATCGTCGTCACCCCCGTCGCCATCGCCGCCACGTTCCTCCTCCGCATCTTCCTCCATGGGGTCCGCTTCCAACACTAAACACACATTTGGTCCTCCTCCGCACTCGTTTCCTCTTACCCGCCCACCGCTCTCTGGAAGCGCGGACGCGTGGGCGGAATGCGTCGCCTCCCCACATGCTGGGGCAGGGCGCCTCTCGATCTGATCGGAACCTGTCGGCCTGCCTGAAACTCCGAAGGTTACCAAGCCGTCGTGCATCATCGAGGGGGGTACCAGGGGAGAGCACGAGGACGAGCTCGAACGCGACGGCGACGAGATAGAGGAGGAGCAGACGACGACGGAAAATAAGAACACGATGACAACAATTTCGAAGATGAGGCTTCGGTCGCGCCAGCTGGACAGGCAACCAAACCGACCGTGAGGCGGCGGTCGGAAGGCGAACCGTCGCAGGATTGCCTCCTAGGCACGGGGCAGAGGCGGAGGAAACAGGGGCGGGGACGAGGAGGACATGGAGGGGGACAGAAACGACAACGGACATAGTGTATAACTGTGGCGCCAACGGGACGGGATAATTCTAAAACAACAAAATGTATGCTTAAGGGCGCACTGGCCCCGAACCTCAATAACAATCGCAGCGCGGTGTCTGTGCCACAGAACACAGTACTCTCCTCTCCAGCCACCTGCCCGTCCTCCTCCTCCCCCTCCTCCTGATCCTCCTTTCCGTCTGTCCGCCCATTTCCCCCTCCTCCTCCTCCTCCCCCTCCTCCTCCTCTCACGTCCACGCCCCCCCCGCGCTCACTCGGTCCCGCACCCTCGCCATCTCGCAGTGTCGCGCACACGGCCGCCATCGGACGCGCGGGCATTCAGAGGTTTGCTCTGGAAACTCCGCATGCCGGGAGCTGAGGCGATAGATCCAGGTCCGCGCGGGACGCCCGATTTATTGGGCGTGCCTCCGAATTTGTGTCTGGATGGCTCTTCTGCGCTGCTTTATTTCAATCCTGGGCGTCTAATCCCACCAGCACTTTAGAGCGTGTAGTGGTCCAGGGGTATTTCTCTTCCCTTTTCTGAAATACCCCCTCTCCCCAACCTCTCCCTTCGACTCCTTTGCCAAGAACCTGCAATACCCTGCAGAGCTCCCCTGCAAAGACCCTGCACAGACCCCTGCAATACCCTGCAAACAAGACCCCTACGATATCTGCAATACCCTGCAAAGACCATGCAAAGACCATGCAAGACCCTGCAAAGGCCCTGCAATACCCTGCCCTGCAATGACATTGCAATCCTACCAGCCCTCTGGGCGTGGGTCGTTGACAGGATTCTCTTACCCAACTCCTGAATACATACACGTTGCGCGTGCGTGCCTGGTCCCCGAGAAGGCCCCAAAAGGGCCGCAAGAGTACCCAAGAGGGCCCTCAGAGGGCCCCCCGACAGTGGGATCCAGAGAGCCCTCTTGGATGCCACTGTCGGGGGGTGGCTGTTGGACCCCTCTTGAGCCCATCCGAAGCTATCCTGAGGCGCTTGAAAAAAAACAGAGGGGCCCAACAATGGCCGCAGAGGGCCCCAAGACGGCCCCAACAGGGGCTCGCGAAGGGTCCAAAAGGGCTACCCGACACTGGCATCCAGAAGGCCCTCTTGGATGCCAGTGTCGGAAAACCCTTTTCGACCCCTTTTGAACCCATCCGAGGCTCCCCTGAGGTTCAAGGCAGGCCCCGAGAGGGGCCCAAGAAAGGCCCAAGAGGGCCCCCAGGCGGCCCCAAGAGAGCCCCACGAAAGCCCAAGATTTACACAAGAGGGCCCTCAGATGGCCCCAGACATGTGCAACGGCCCAAGAGGGCCTGACGTCCTCGCTGCCTGGGCGGCTGGCGACCCATGCGCTGGATATTTGAAACACGCATATACACGCAACAAATACGCTACATATGGTATGGGAAACCGTGCGAAGTCTTTAGCACATGTTTTAAGGTCGCCTGTACCTTCATCAGAGTGAGGGGCCAAACGGTCTTACAATGCTCCTGGGTGCGTGGCTGAAGTGGGGACCCGCGGAGGATATTATGTTTGTTATTGTTGCCGTCGTCCCGGTGGGTGGGTCGCGGCGCGGGTGGGTCGCGGCGCGGGTGGGTCGCGGCGCGGGTAAGTCGCGGGTGGTTTGCGGCGCCGATGGGTCGCGGGTGGGTCGCGGGTGGGTTGCGGGTGGGTCGCGGCACGGGTGAATCGATTGGTCCCCTCAATGCCCGCTCTTGGGGCCCTCTTGGAGCCGTCCCGCGTCCCTCCTGGAGCCGTCTAAGGGCCCTGGGAAGGGCCCAACATGGCCCCGAGACAGCTCCAAGAGGGCCCGACGACGGCTCCAAGATGGCCCCAAAAGGGCCCCGATATCGGTCACGCGAGGGAGGCTTCGCGTGACCGCTCTTGGGGCCCTCTTGGAGCCGTCTTGGGGCCCTCTTGGATCCGTCTGATGGCCCTAGGAACGGCCCAGGAGGGCCCCAAGACAGCTCCAAGAGCGTCGCAAGACGGCCCCAAGAGGGCCCCAAGAGCGGTCACGCGAAGCCTCTCTTACGTGACCGATATTGGGGACCTATTGGGGGCGTCTTGGGGCCCTCTTGGGAGCCTCTTGGAGCTTTCTTGGGGCCCTCTTGGATCCTTCCCAGGGCCCTCGGCGGGGCCTATAACGGCCCCGAGACGGCTCCATGAGGCCCCAAAGCGGGCCTCAAGAGGCCCCCAAGAAGGCCCCAAGATCGGTCGAAAACATCCCCAACTCTCCAGAACCTTTTTGAAACCTTCCGAAAACTTCCAATCGCAGAGGCCCTTACCAACTTTGAAAAATCGCGTTCTCGTATTGTGATGTCCAAAGAAGGTGAGGGGCCGCTCTGAGCCCCTGGGGAGGGAGCTCGGAAGAGCTCGGAGGAGCTCGGAGGGCCGAGCCCCCCGAGCCTCCCCGAGCTCCACCGAACTCCTCCGAGCTCCTCCGAGCTCCCCCACCTGGGGCCCAGAGCGGCCCCTCACCTTCTTTGAAAACCACCTTCCGAAAACATAACTTTTTCATGATATGATGGCCTCTGCATTTGGATGTTTTGGGGTGCTTTCAACGGTTATGGAAACTGCGAGATGCTTTCCAAAACCTCCGAAAGCATCCCCAACTTTCCACAACCGTTGGACCCCCCCCCAACCTCCAAACGCAGAGGCCCTCACCTACTTTGAAAAATCACCTGTCCGGAAAATGATTTTCAAAAGAGGTGAGGGGCCGCTCTGGGCCCCCGGGAAGGGAGCTCGGAGTTCGGAAGAGGACGGGGGGGGTCGACCCTCCAGGCTCGACCCTCCACACTCATCGCCCCTCCCAACGATCAGGGCAAATCGCCTCGGAACTGTTTTTTTTGGATGGGCTGGTGGGGACATGCGACGTGTCAGAAATTGCCAAGGCTCCCTGCGCCACCAGCCGACGCGTGAAGAGGGGGGTGGAGGGGGAGAAGGAGCATGAGGAGAAGGATTAGTGATAACACGAAGCGGTGAAAGGTGAAGACTAGAGGGAGGAGGAAGAGGAGGCACGCAGTCCACGCACCGGCCACGCCGTCGAGCCAGGCGGCGGCAATCAGAGCGGCGAGAGGGGGGGGCGAAATGAAGGGGGAGTGATTTTGTGGTTATCTCGTCATTCATGCGATCCCCGCCGGCGCCCAGCCGGCCGCCAATCCACTGATTGGCCTGAAAGCAAAATCACCGCAGCACGCCTCAGGTGAACATCGCCATCGCCTCGGACACCGCCTTGTCCTTCTTTGATGAGGCCCCCTTTTTCGCTTTCGCTGCCTTCTGGAGATGGGCCGACTGGCTGTCGTTCGCCTCTTTGATTATGGCCAAGAAGTTCGCTTTGTCAGAGTCTGGCACAAGGAACATGTAGGTCTCGAGCTCCTCCACGTCGGCCTTCGTCACGGGGCCCTGGGCCTTCTTCTCGGTCACCTGCTGCAGCTTGGCCTTCATTGCGGCGAGGCCGGTCAGCACCCTCCCCTTGGAGCCCTGGCCAGACGACTCGGTGAACCGGACAAAATAATCGAACTTGTCGACGAGCCCCTTGACCTTCGGCTCGGCCTCCAGAGATCCGAGCTCAGGACACTTCGCATCGACAAGGGAGCACAGCACCTTCTTGACTGCATCATGCATAACCTGGGCGGCCTTGGAGGCGAGCTTGTAAATGTTATCATTCACCATGGCGGCGATCTCGTGCAAGACGGTCTCGACATTCTTCTGCCCGCCCGCCGTGGGGAAGAGCTTCTCCATGGCCACGACCAGGCGCACGTACCCATTGTCACCGCCCACGGACATGATCAACAGCGCGTCCGCGTCGAAGTCAGGGTCCGAGACCACGAAGCTGGCCTTGATCTTCTTCATCGTGTTCCGCGTCTGCTCCCCGGTCAGGTCACCAGACTCGCGGAAGGCTTTGTTGGCTCCCTTCCGCGCGGCATTCGGGCCCCCATACAGACACTCGCTGACCCTGACATCCGAAATCGGCCGAGGGTTCGGGAGCACCGCGTCGTAACAGAATAGCTTCTCCAAGAGATTCGCGTTCGTGGCGATCGGCCTCCACACGAATGACAACTGCAAACTCACGTGGTGAGCCAGCGACTCCACGTCGAAGGTGAACTTGGTGCCCGCGACCGTGAACTCCACGGCCCGACTCGCGGGCAAGAGCTCGTTATTCTCGATGTCGGCCACCTTCGCGATGATGTCGGTCTTCTGCTGCTGGAGGCTCTCCTGAGATGGGGCCGGGCAAGCGCGGCCCCCGTGCGGGGGCACCAGCACCCCGGGCAACCCATGCCCGAAACGGGCGATTGCGATGGACCCCCGCCAACACCCCCTCCAACAAGGGGGGCATTCTTTCTCATATAGCTCAGAACAACCACCCCACCCCACCCCGATGGATGCACAGGGTCCTGCGTCAAAGGACCTGCCTTGCCCCACTTGACCGCCTCCTCTTCGATGATGCCGTCGACCTTCTTACCAAGGACTGTCAGCAAAGCGAACGGCCACATCGCCATGCCCGCGTCGCCACTGCCGATCACAGTGTTCAGCTCCGACAAGACGGTGCCGCAGTCCCCGTTGCAACCCAACACCTTCTTCAACGGCTCCTCTGGCATCGCCGACACCACGAGAGACAAATTGTCCTTGCAGAACTGGGCAGCCGTGGGCTTCGCTTTCACCTTAGCCGACGTCGCCCGCTTCCACGCCGAATTCACCGTGGTGTCGCAGAAGGGTTTGAAGAACGCCTCGTAGTAATCGGCGTAGGAGGTCGCCAGGCCAGCTCTGTGGACGAATCGCGCGAAAGCCTGGGCGAGCGCGGCCTGCTTCGGACAGCTGGGGCTGATTGTTTGCATCCATTTCGTCAACCCGATCACCTCGGTCCTGTTTCTCGGCGTCTTCGACCCGATCCACGTGACCACCAAGGAGTGGTCGGGCTTCTTTTTCTTCGCGGGGACCATCGCCCGCAGGAGCGCGGGGTCCACCTGCTCAGGCGGATCAGGAGCTGTGAGAAGCTCCGGGCGCGACACGTGCTTCGGATGCCGCTGCCGCACATTGCGGTAGAAAACGGAACCCAAGGCGAACGAGGGATTCTTCCGCTTCTCCCGCACGCCCTCCAGCACATCCTCATAGGCCGTCTTACCGCTAGTACCCTTCACGAGGTAGATCTGGTTCTCTGAGTACCCTTTCAGGTTATCCTTACAAGCTTTCGTAGCAACCTCTGTAGACGGCTGAGCCTTTAACTTCCTCCTGAGTGCCCGGTCCTGCGCGCTGCCTTGGCCACCCGAATGAAGGCACTGCGCGCGCCCGCTCGAACTGACCAGCACGGGCAACAGATGGGCAGACGATCGCCGGTGAAGGATAGCTGCGGCCTGAACCAGAATGGCCACGGGCAGGAGGTGAGACCTTGTAAGGAGAAGGCAATGTGGAAGGGAACATAATTATTATATTTACGATTTCCAGATGGCGATTTCCAGATGGAGCAAAGTGGATGGCCACTTTGCTCTCGCCCACGCTCTTCTTAGCGAGGGTGGCCATGATGCCGCTTACGAACGCATGCTTCCCCGAAACATTTCCGGGCTGCTTCCGGTCGAGTCGGCCCAGCTTGGTCTCGAGTTTCTGCGCGTGCTTCTCCTCCACAGAGGGTTTCGGCGTCAGCTTGTGGAGGAACAAACACATTGTCCTGGACAGCAACGTCACCAATTCATATTCGGGGTGGAAGCGCGACAATGCGGCAATTGACCCATGCATCTGCTCTACAACAACCGTGGACCACGGGGCATCCCCGAGGAGCTCGACCGTGCGCTGCAGAACAGGCAGCGGGACAGCACCGAGCTGCAACAAATCCCAAACCTTTCCAGCTGTTCGGTTGCTAGGCCTCGGGCCGGCCTTAAGGGCCGACAGGTTGGCTCCGACGTCACCGCGCACCAATGTCCAGGGCAAGCTTTCGGCCACGCTCAGCACGCGGAAATTGAAGAACGCCACGGCCTTATGGGCAGCCCGCACACACGTCGACTGCAATGCGCGCCAACTGACCCCAGACAGAGCGCCGAGCTTTTTATACACAAAGGTTGGCAAGCTCCGTATCCACTCCATATTGTCAGCCAGTGCGCTTCTAAGTGCAGGGGCCGTTCGGGCAACCCTGTTGTCTTTCATTATCATGGCCAATACCGCATCCGGCACTTGGGATACCAGAGCGGCCTCGGCGACGAACTCCCAGCAACCGTCCTGCTCCGAACGCCAAAACTGGTTCAGAAAGAAGCCGGACACATGCGGCTGATCCAACGCAAAAGCCAGCATGGCACTCAGGCCCAACAGTTGAGCAGCTGCCAGGCGCTGCGACGCACGGCCAAGCGACAACCAGCGTGAGTCTGTGTATTTCTTGAACTTCCAAACGCGCAGGAGCACGTTGGCTATCTTGTCTGCCACGATGCCATCGGACGCCGCGCTGCGGCCGACCCAAAGAACCCCATTTTCAAAACGCAGCTGGAGCCCTATGAGCACATCCACGGTGTCCTCCTCGAGGCACAGGCTTGACCAGAGAGCTCTCCACGACGTGGCCTCGCAGTCGCTCCAATCATCAGCCAGCCGGAACGCCTGGAACACCCATGCGTGCATATAGCGGGTGACGGCGTCAAAAGACTGGCGAATCGCAGCAACGGACAAATATACATTCTTTAAAAGGTCGGAATCATGAAAACGGTGAGGGAGCGACCATTTGAATGCATTCATGGCGTCGTGGCACGCGCATGCCGTCGCCTCTACCCACTCAGTGAGAGTCAACAACTCCTGCTCTTCAACCGTGCTTCCGAACGAACTGCTAACCAAAGAGTGCCAAGCAGATAGCATTCTTGAGAAAGCCTCGAAACCGCACCGGTCAAAACAATACGCTTGCACGCAAGGCCCTTTGTGCCCATGCTGCCGGCAGGTACGCCAGTAGCCCCTGCACGCCTCGAACATGCGAGGTACAGTCTTCCCCTCTGTGAGCGGGCGCGGATCCTCTGAGCACAGATTCGTGCGCGCGCGCCCTGCAGCGTCAAGTGTGCGAGTGAATTGGCACGACGTCAAAAACTCGAACGTGGCCTTGCCAGAGCGCCTAAACTTTCTCCCAGCGGGCAAGGACGCACTCACCGACTGCGACACTGAAATCGGCGTCCCGTCTGCCTGGCACGCCTGGAGCACGGGGCCGCCAGCAGCACTCGCGACGCATCGCGACGCACAGTGCTTCAAAGCCGCCTTGCCCACCTCACACAATTTGTCGGCTTCTCTCTTCTCGGGGTCGGTTAAGGACTTTGAGCACTTTGCAAACTTGTCGATTCTGCTCTGGACTGACATTTGAACCGAAGTGGCTGCGGAGCGTGAGATAAGCAATGGCAAATTTACGATTCATACGCCAGCAGGTCTGAGCACACAGTGCCAAACATCCTGAATGTAAACACCCCCGGGACAGGACGATACTAATAAAACACCCTGGATCGCAAACTCGCGCTCGCCACGTCGGGGGGGGGGGCAACGCAGCCCGCATTTCAGCCGCCCACTGTGGCACCGACTGGCTATATATGGGAGCGTTGTTTTCGGGGGCTGGGAGGGCGCGTAGATTGAGGAACTACCCGACCACCTTGCTTTGACAAACAACTTCGACTGTGAATGCTAGATGGGTGACGGCCCCACGGGCCCCGCCGTCTTCTTGCGCTACGCCCCCCCCCCCCCCACTCTCTGCAGCCGTCCACGGATCCACCGCGCCCCCCTGGAGGGGCATCCAAGCCGCGATGATAAGATTTTGGCTGCGATTCCAGAGAGCGCGCGTGCACCGTGGATGTGCGACTGCCTCGGCTATGCGACGCAGGCGTTTTAATACTGCTCCCCCCCGAAAAGGCGGGTCGAAGTAAAACGAATAGGTGTAGCGCAAAACGACGGGACTGGAGAGGGCCCCACTCTGAGCGACACAGAATTGACATGCTACACATGATAACAATATCCCGCACAGGGACCTGGAGCAAAGGGCGGAGACCGAGTTTGCCAACGCAAAACAAACACACTCTGAACATATGGGAGACTCAGCAAAGAGTAACAAAACCAATAACAATTGAAACCACAACATAAACAGCAACACCTTATTGCTCAACGTAACAAGAAATGCCACCCGCAGCCCCCTAATGCCTCCTGCATCTGGCCTTTAACTTTTTTTACCCCAAGGTGCCTTCTGCGCGTTGATGCCCCTGGAGGCGCGCAATCCCCGAGTGGACAAGATCGTGGCATGTGCTCTTGATGGTGGTAATGTGTGTTTACACTGTTTCGAATCATGGGGCTCCACGGCGGCACAGCCCACGGTTTTCCAGTCACGTCGGCGGGGGTCTGCGCGACGCAATGTTTCTCGCCATGGCGGCTCTCGAACGCGGTAGTTGTTTATTGTGCCGCTGTTTTGTTGCATCCTGGCGAAAGAACCAACCAACGTTCACTGCAGGTCGCGCGCGGCATTGGGCCGCGCGCTGGACGTTGACCCAATCGCGCGATAGCATCCGACGGAGGGGGGCAATGGCGAAGACAACAGCGATGACCACGAGCGCCGACGTGGCGATCATGCCGACGATGGCAATGACAAGAATGAGGGCACGTGCCGGCAGCATTCGGGGCCTTGGAAGGGGTCATCCAAGATCGCCGCGCGCGCGGCGCGCGAATCGCGCGGGGCGCGGTAAGCGACGCCTGGCCCCGACGCTTCAGGCCTGAAGCTACGTTACGCGACCCGCCAGGGCGAGAGCGCCAGCAAGGCATCGACCGCCCGCCAAAACCAAATTTCCACTTGTAAGAAAGTGCCAGATTCCACGTCGAAAATCAAGTGCGACATGCCAGAATCCACCAAGTTTTCACGCTTAGCTGGGGTTGTGGATGACTCTGCTCCCTGCCCCTGGCCTAGCTCGTCTGGCAAGGCCTTCCGACTTGGGGGGCGGGGGGGCGGCTGGGGAAACCAAAAGGTACCGATACCCCTACTCCCCGGACCTCTCCCCGGGTGGGTTCTAGCCAGAACTTCGAATGAAAACGAGGAACGGGTAAAGGTATGGGTACCTTTTCCTCCACTTAGCGGCTGTCTACGAGTTTAGTCAGCATCCCCTTACACCAGCCAGCTGGGGAGCGGCAGGGGTTCTGCCGACCCTGGCTTTTTTCTTCGCACCGCCGTGGGCCCCACACCGACGACACCACCATAACTCACGAGCACAAGACATCTCTCGGCTTCACGCAAGAGTGACCCTGGGTAAGAGTGACCTTTGGTGCGCGTTTTTTTTTTCGGGAGCCGCCAAACCACAAGCGAACAAGACGCTGCTGCCGCCTGGCGTTCGGCGATCGGGGGACCCCGAAGGTCACTCTGTAGAAGGGTCGCTACTACGTGTAATTGAATCTCGTGACTTTGGTGAATTTGGTGGGGCTTACCCTGGCTCTGCGAGGCAAGCTAATCCAGTGTTCCCGACTTCTTGTGAAGGGTAAAAGCATGGGGTCTGCATTTGCCACCTGCAGGGCCACCTTCATGAGGCGCTTCTGCACACGAACTACCTGATTGTCAAAATCACACAATTGCTGGAGACATGCAGGGGAAGCCAGGCACGACGGGCTCCATCCCCTGCGCACTCATCTTCCGCCTGACTTGCGGTGAAGTCCTCACGGGCAATGTGGACCCCTACGTCTCCTCATTGGAGGTGGGACTTTACCTTTCTGAAGTGGCATTCCCTGGGATGGCTGTTACCAGCTTCTGAGAAGTCTAGACAGGCCGCTGAATTGGTTTCATGCTTCGAGTGGGGCCCACGTCGAATTCCATCGATCACGCTCTGACAAGCCTGGACGAAATTGCACTCACCACTTGTATGCTTTACGGCCACAATCATGGCTACAAGCTCAGCCAACGGGACTGTCTGGATAGTCTTGGAGGGTGCCGTGTGCTCTACCTGTGACCACGCCTCTTTGGACGTTGACGCAGAACCGGCTGCAGCGGCGGAGGCGCCTGTCGTCAGTGCAATCCCCCCCACCCCCGTCCGACCCGACCCGATCATCACGGCAAAGGTACACGCGCCCTTCAGCCTGGAAGGCGCCTTCAAATAGGCCTCGCCTTCCGGACATGCCGTGGACCCACAAGACTGGGAACAAACCTCACAACCCCAACAAAGAACATCCAAATGTCTTTCCTGGGCTTCCCGGGCGAGGAGGACCAGGGAAACTAGAAAGGAGGATTGCGATGACGCCACCATAGCTGGTGACAAAGGTCATCCTCCTCCCCTTCCTGCTCCACCTCGCCTGCAACACCTTTTCTGGAAACCGACGGGTGGGTGGGGGGTGCGCCTCGTGGCTGGCCGCAGAGCTCAAATGGCCACTATCTCGAGGACAACGGCTCGTCGTCTTGCCCCTCATACTCCTCATGTTATTCTCCCTCCTCCTCATCCTCCTCCTGTTCCTTCTCTTCTCCGCCCTCCTCCTTCCCCCCCCTCCTCCTCCTCCTCCTCCTCCTACTCCTCCTCCTGGTCCTTCTCTTCTCCCACCAACTCCCCCTCCTCCCGCTACATCCCTCCCTCCTTGCCTGGGGCGAGGCGCGCATGCCAATGATGAGCGACGAGGTGGCCCGGCGACTTGCGACCGACGAGGCAGATGCGTGCACAACGGTGGGCCTGGCCGCACAGCGTGAGCCAGGTCACTGCCTGTGGAAGGGGTGGCTCACTTTCAGCCGTGCGCTGCGTGAGCAGCGGGGTTCGCGGGATGGCGGCCCACCGCGTGCCATGCAGCCGTGGGGGGAGCATGACGGCGAGGAGAGCTAGCCTGACCCAGGCATTTTTGGGCAAGGAAGGCACATGCCGCTGTCCGAAGGACCCACTACGGTTTTGAAGTTCAAAGTGCTGGTGGGCACATTGTTGTATAATTGTCCGCATGTGGTTATATAGTCGCAATCCACACACGTGTGTGTCGTGGCATTTGTGTTATCGCTTTCGCGGCAGTCGCATGCGCTGCTGTTGGTGGGACCTTCGGTGATCAAATGACTGTTGTGTGTTGTCACCCGTCCATTTCCAAGTGCCCCCTTTTCTTCGATCAGTTGCTGTGGATACACCGTTGTGCATGTGTCTTGAGGCGTTTGTTTGGACGCCCGCGACCTGAGCGAGGCGTGTACCAGGAAGGACAGCACTTCAGGAGCACCTGCGTAAATTACAACTCACAGAGTTAGAATGAGTAAAGGATTGCACAGACATGAACAATTGGAGGTCCGCGCGGATTTCTTGGGTCTGTGTTGGACCCCCTCGCGGGCGCACGGAGCGCGCCAGGGGCGGCGCTGCAAACGCTGCCAGGGTGCTCCAGCGCGGATCCGAAAAATCCGCGCGGAGCGCCAACAATTGATGTCTATGGCGTATTTTCCTTTTCGAAGAGTGGGAGCCGTTCCGCGGAGTGCCGTCCACCTCCGCGGAGGACCTAAGGAGGAAAATCCCACCGTGGCGTAATCCTCCTGGAGCGTGGCCGAACACGCGCCTCGGTCTATCCGCGATCGCCGCCCGCCACCCGCAGCCTAGCGAGCTGGGCTCGCACCGGTGGCTGAATATCGTAAATCGCGCTGCCTCAGAGAGGCACATCGGGAGCGGACCGTGCAACATAAGCGGCGTTGAGGAGCAAGAGTTCGTAGCGTGACTCTCCTCTCCCTCCCCCAGGAGCAGAAGTGCGTGAGCGGCCGAGCAGGGCCTGCTGGATGGGACCAGGCCCCCAAAGAAGGGGGAGGGCCCCGGGCGTCCGCGGCGCCGCGCTGCCACTCGGCGAGCTCGTCCTCCGCCTCGGGGGGGCGGGGCGGGGATGAGGGAGGGAGGGGTGAAAGGAGGGAGAGGGATCCTGACGAAGGAGGGAGGGAGGGATGAAAGGAGGGAGGGAGGGATGAAAGGAGACAGTGAGAAGGATTCGACAGGATCCGAGATGCCAGCCATTCCTCCAGGTCAGTCCTGAACAAAGAAGCTGGTATTGCCACGAACCCCGACCTTGGAGGACAAGTGGGCGTGACTTGCGAGGTAGAGAAAAGCGAAGGAAGACGAGGACGCCTACAGGGCGCATAATGCTGATTCACGTGTTGTCCGTGTGACGCTGTGCCGCATTTTAAGCACATTATGAAGGTTCCCGTGTTGTCCGTTTGATGCTGTGCCGCTTTGTCGGGGCGTCTACGACCATCTTGGAGCCCTGTTGGGCAATGTTCGGGCCCTGGGGCGTCTCCGACCATCTCGGGGCCCTCTAAGAGAGTTATGGGGCTCTCTTGGGGTCAGCTGGGGGTTTCCCGGGAACCTCTTGGAGGCTTCTTGCGGCCGCTTTTCTTCTCATCGCAACAGTGTCCTGCGATGAACAGTCGAAGTCGGTTAGACCCAATATTGATATTAGGAATATTCACCCACTGGGATCGCAGAGCCACCATCCGTGCGGCTCCTTGGCCCGAACCAAAGGCTGTGCGACGGGACACCCAGAACGGCTGGGGCAGCCCCGAACAAGAAAGACAGTGCGAGGCCATGTGGCCTAAACAACGAGGATAAGGAGGAAAAGCGTTGTGAGCGCATGCCTGCATGATCCGAACGACACTTTGTATAAACTGGCACCATACCAAATATTCCTGACAAGCCGCAGGGTGAGAAACAAAAAGGGAGGGAAGGAAACAACAGGAGGGGACAACAAATGATGGGTGTGACTCCCATTTTATCAAATACTGCACCACTGAAACTACACGAACACCTAGTGGAAAAACCAGCTTCCGCGTAGGTTGCCTTTGCAGTCAAGACCGGTCGGGAACCACTGCTATTACGAAGTGTGCGCAGATCCTGTACATTCACAAGCTCCACGCACCTAGCCGCCAGCGTGCTCGCGTCGCTGTGGTCGTCCTCGTCTAGAAGACCTCCGACAGCAAACTCATCTCGGCCTAAATGATTGACGTGCACGTTCAAATGCGACGTGCCGCCGTCCGTATGCCCACGAACGACCTTCAGCTCTGTCTTACCAAAAACACCTCGACCTCGCTCTGCGATGCACCGTGATGCAAAAACCTCCAGCTTGTTTTGGCTCTGCCGAAGACCCGGTCACGTTCAAATCTTGGAAGCACAGATCCGTGCACTGTTTACCCAATCGGCGTGCATCGGCCTGCCCGCGAAGCAGAGTTTTTTCAGCGCGCTCTCCGCGAAGGATGTTGATAAGAACGCGGCTGCCTGGCGCCATCAAATCAAAACGCTCGCCAAATACATTCTTCATATGGGGATCGCCAACGGCCGAACTCGTCGCCACTCCCTGGAGAAGACGAGGACGGACTGGAGGTCGGGCTGTTCGTTGGACTGACGTCGGGGACGCGGTCGGACTGGAGGTCGGGTTGCTTGTCGGGCTGCTCGTCGGGGCCGCAGTCGGAGAAGGCGTGGGGCTGGGCGTCGGGGACGAGGTCGGACTGGAGGTCGGGCTGCTCGTCGGACTGACGTCGGGGGCGTGGTCGGACTGGATGTCGGGCTGCTTGTCGGGCTGCTCGTCGGACTGGGCGTCGGGGACGAGGTCGGGCTGCTCGTCGGAGCCATCGTGGGTGCTGCATTGAGACAGTGGAACACCAGTGACGGTCTGGCGCTCGCGACGAGGGCTTCGCGAGACCCAGAAGTAGATGCCCCCGCCCACATCCATTGCGCAGTTATATAACGAGAGGGAGACGGGGTTCTTACCAGCGGGTTTCGCCTGCGGAACGGTGCATGCGAACGCCTACTCGAGTGGGCACGGGGAGCCCTGATAATCGCGAACCTGCTCCTGATAGCTGGGCCGGCTGGACCAAGTAGTGGCGCTCTCTGACCACTCGCCCTGCACCTCAAAGATGACCACCTTTGGAAAGGTACCATCAGAAAAAGGTAGTCGGCCACAGCAGGAGCAGAAAAAGGTAGCCGTCCACAGCAGGAGCGTTGCATCCTCAGCATCGCAAGGGACACTAAATTGCAGGTGCGAATATCGAGCGCCGCACCAGCCGTCCGTGAGGATGCGGGGACAATCTTGGTAGTCCAAATTCCCTCTATGGGCAACCTTTCCTGCCATTGTCGTGCTGCCCTCTCCGGGACTGAACCGCACTGGATGAATGCGCCCACGGCGCGCTTGCCTGTCGTCGGTCTCTACCCTGGCACCGAGGGAAGCGTCGGCAAACAATTGGATGTCGGTCAGGATGGGAATGGGCTGGTTGTCTCTAGGATGCTGGCCACGCACTCGCGGCAGTTGTGGTTCCTTGCCAACGCGAGCCAGTATCCGTTCGACAGCCCGCTCCTTTGCTTCACCCTTTCCTGGGCTGTCTGTGGAGGACGATCGCCACAGCCTGACAAAGTGGACGAATCCGAAATCGCAGCGTGGAGGCTTGCGAGACATCTCATTCTCAAGGTATTTGAAGCATGTGTCATGGCGTTCGTGGATGTGGCCGCTGAGGCTGCTGATACAACAGTGGTCTTGTGACAATGCAACCGCATAAGCTGCAGCTTCTGCTCGCATGGCCTCATCGTCGTGCGTGGTGCTCGTGAATGCCCGAGACCTCGCCGCGCAGCCGACGCATGGGCACGATGGCTGCTTTTCTGGGAGGATGCGGTAGTGCGGGAGCTTCGAAAGTGTCGCGCCCGTCAAAGGAAGGGCGCGTTCTCGAATTCGGTTGCCTGTGTTCGCGTCGAGCTGCGTATGTAGGTAGCGTTGGGCGTGATTGTCAACGAAGGCGGGCGCAGGAGGAACGAAAAGTCGTCTCTCGGTAGGGTCGTTTCGGTCGCCCTCGAGGTCGCCGTCGAACTTGTCCTCGCGCTGCCACCTCTCAAGGCAAGGCGTGCTTTTGAGGGGGGGGCCTGCGAGGCCGCGTCCACGATGTGCAATGGGACAGTGGCGGAAGATGTTATCTGCAAAGCCTCGACGTCTTCGATTGCAGCGCGCTGCCAACGTTGCAGAGTTGATCGCGCTTCGGCTGTGTCCTTGCGGAGGACGGAGCGCAGCCATGATCGAGACGTTCGGTTGACGAAGTGGATGCCATGTGGGAATGCGTGCTGAGACGCGCTTGTTCCTCGATGGGGCCACGCAGCGATGCGATCATGTTCATCCCACCTCCCACCGCGGAAGCTGCGTAACCGTCAAAAAAATTGCTCCGTTGGCTGCCCCACTGTGCTGGGGCAATTCGTCAAAAGGGCCGGTTCCGAGGACATGTGCACAAAACAATCGCATGCTGAGCCGCGGACCTGGCATGGTCGGGCGCAGACGGCCGGCGGCGCAGCGCAGTCGGCGGAGGTGGCAAGGGCGAGGTGCAGGAAGGCCAAGGCGGAGGGGGCGATGAGGGGGCCAGGCTGGCGCTCGATGGTGATGCTTGGAGGCGCGCGCAGCCCGCGCGCTGTCCGTTCCCCGCCTGCGGCTGAGACGGAGCAGGTGTGGGCCGGGGAGAATGTGCGCGTGTAGAAGCCAGGGCGAGCGCTGTTTGGAAATCGTGCGCGGGCATTGGTGTTGCGGAGGGGCTTGGCGGAAGGTGCCGAAAGCTCGGAGATAATCTAGAACCTCGCTTGCGCAACAGGGTGTTTGGCGGTTATTTCTAGCATCCTCTTCGCCGCTGGCATCGTCGGGTTCTCGTCGAGGAGAGAGAGACGGAATGCTTTTCCGTGGCGCCGTCGTCGTCGAGTCCTGGATGGGGGGGGGGGGGCGTGGGAACTTTTGGACGCGCAGGAGGGGGCCGTGGAGACGCGGGGGAGAAAGTTCCCGTCAAAAAAAAACGTCCCCTCGTCGAATGGAGCGGAAACGTGAGAAACATGGGGATGGACGCAGCAGGGGGGAGGGGGAAGGGCGCCTTGGAGAAGGGGCCGTGCCCTCCAGTGGCGTGGTTGAGACAGCCGGCATGGATGACGACCACTAAAGGGTTCCAGGTGTGAGCGACGTTCGGTGCGAGGAAGCCACCTATGCCACCGAACCGGAGCATATCCCCCATTTGCTCATGGCGAAGCTGTTGACGAGCACCCTCGGAACGAACAACGTCGTTGCTGATGAAAAGGAGGGTTCGCGCGGCCTCCCGCAACGAGGCAGGAGCGTTGTCCGAAAGCAAGCATCATCGAAAGCCGGCTCTGTCACCCATGGTGTCGAAGGCGGATCGGAGTTGGGCCCCCGTGGCCTGGCAGACGAGGTTCGCGCTGGTTTGGAAACCTCTTCGTCGCGCGAGGTCTCTGGGGCTGCGGTTGAGCTCCATCCTGCGCCAGGAGTCGTTCAGGACGCATAAGATGTCGAGATCGGCGGCCCAGCGTGGTTGGGCTGGCGGGGCGAAGGGCGTGGCCCCCTGGGTGCATTGCGCACGCGTTTGAGCGCCGTGCTGGACAAGAGGACAGTCATGTGATGAAGTTTCGTGGACTTGATAGCGGAGCTCAGCACGTAGCAGGAGCATGCGACACCACTGTTGGAAAGAGAGCGGGCGGCGTCGGTCGATGCCGAAGACGCCATCCCCGTGCGGGAACAGGTGGGGGAATGCGATTTGCCAGAGCTCTTTGTCGTACATCGAAAGAGGCCCCTTTCCTGTAGGGATGACCCAAATGCCGTCAGGTTTTGCCGGGCAGCAGGCTCTCGGCTTTCTGCCGCGTCCACGGCCTTCAAAGCGCTGTCCAACTGCTTGCGGTATTCGTCAGTTTTCAAGTATTTTGCCAAGGCCTGTAGAGACTCAGTGTCGATGGTGACGTCGGTGGCGGGAGCATCTGTGGCACATTTTGAAGACAGGAGCTCGAGCTCGGCAGCGAACTCGCAAGCCGCTCGGTCAGCTTCCAGGGCGCCCGTAGAGATGTCGGCGGCGGCGCAGTGGAGGTTAACGTCGCCAGAGTCGCGGCCGAGGGCGTCGGCGGTCTCTGGGGGCAGGGGGTGCTTGTTTGCAGGCGGCGGTGCGGTGTCGGGCTCGACGTTGGGCGTCGGTCTGACGCTTGGATATTCCATGTCTCTCCCGTCCTCTGTGGCGATGCTGTCTGGGGTGGGGACTTCAGGTGCGTCGAGCGTGGCTGGCCCAGGGGTGAGGCGCGGCGTGTGCGTGGTGGCTTCAATACGAGTGGCTTGTGAGAGAACCTCAGCGCGGCTGTGGCCCGCTTCTTCGAGTCGTCGTGCGGCTTAGGCCTCGTCGATGTCGAGTGCGCGGTAAACTTCCGAATGAACCACGCAGAGACGCACTGCTGTCACGTATGCTTCCTGGGGGACTTCAGCCTAGGTAGCTTTGTCCAAGTCGTCCACGGATGCCCCCCGCAAGTGCGATGGCTAGGCCGTCGGCGAAGAACTGCTGAGAAACCCCGGGTTCGGCAGGCAGGGCTTGGGTCACGAGTTCTGTCGGGCAGGCCTGCGTGAAGCAACTTGAATTGCTACGCAATCCCATTTGTTTCGTGCGGGGATCCGCCTTCTCTGTCTTCTCGGCGATTATTGTCCGAGAGAGCATGCGGGCGAGGGCGAACATGGCGAACGTCATGGGGGAGAGCTTCGCACCATTCTTCCGGAATGCGACAGGTTCTCGCAAAATGAGGTTGTCGTTAGCGAGAGCGCGCCGAAGGGGGGCGGCCGAGTTCCGGGAGAGGTCGAGTCTGCAGCTGAGGCACGCGGGCATGCAGGGGATGCGGCCGTCGGAGTCAGGCTGCAGCGCGTAGTCGGGGCGTAGGCCAGGGCCACCGTCCGTGGAGACAGGGATAGTCATGGTGTCCAGTATCCAGCGGCAGCCAATACCTTCGGAATCTGTGGCCCGAGGGTGCGCGACGCTAGTGCCGTAGACCTCAGCCCGGGGCAGGGTGTGGCGGCCCCCCGATGATTCGGGAGCCCGCCATCGGTCCATGTAAGCATCTGCTGAGAGGCGGTCGTTGAGTCGGCGTGCACGAGAGTCCACCTGGGCGGGGCCTCGTTGGACTTGACCATCGCGTCCGTCGTAATCCTCGTCGAGTAGAGCGTCGTAGTGGCCAGTGCGTAAAATGTCCAAGTCGTCCGCGGTAACCGGCAGGGTCGCGTAGAGCTCCGAGTCTGCGAGGATCTGATTCGCACGTTGCCGACGATGTCTTCGTAGATCGGCGGAGCCAATGTCATAGGCGCGGCACCGCGCGTCGAGGGCGGGGTCGAGCGCAACGCCACTGGGCGAGGACTGCTAATGGCAAGTGTCGAGAAAGAGAGAGCCGGAGTAGCGAAGGCCAGACGTCTGGATGTCGCTTAGCCCAGTGCACGACGGCAGCGAAACGGAGAGGTTGCTCCCAAATTGGGATGCGCAGCAGCAGGTGGACCTGATGAACGATCTTTTCGATGCATTCGTGTAGTTGAGCGGCGCAGAGTTGCATGTCGAAAGGTATGCCGAGCGCTACACACCAGGCTGTGATACTGACAGGGGCGTCAGCGCGGGAGGCGTGGAGTTTCGACGTTGGCAGCCAGGCGCGCAAGTGTCGTTCCCAATCTTCCGGGTGCTGGCGAGCCCACTGCTTGATGAAAGCTGCGTCAAATTGGTCAGGCCACTGAGGCTCCGCTCGCAATATGGCAGCTGCGTGAATTCTTTGGCCAATGTACTGGGGCCTCAGATCGTTCCGGAAGCCTTTGAACGGAATGAGAAGAGCTGCGCACCAGTCCTCGATCGTAACCTCGCCGGGGCCTCTCTGCTTTCTCGCGGGTTTCCAGACGTACAGTCCGCG